TAAAGGTAAATGTCAAGTGTGGGTGACATTTGTTTAGGCAGACTCCTCAATGACTTTGCTGATGATGAAAGATTAGCTTGGGTCAGTTCCCTCTAGAAGGAGGTGATTAATGGATGGAGAATTCAGATGCTTCACCAGACAATATGCTAAGACTTACAGCTTTTCCCAGAGGACAAGAAAGGGGGATAAAGTCCTGGACTGGGTAGAAGAGGTAAGAAATGAAAACAGAGCTACAGCCAGAGTCCTAGGGAGGAGGGTGGTACATGGTTGCTTGTGGGAGGACTTGCAGGATGTAGATGTGCCCCGCTCCATTTTGTCCATTTAAATTGTATATATGTACGTATATAAGTATGTAAATATATATATAAGTGTACATACAAAATATACACATATATAATATATACAGATAGAATAGGTAGTACAGGTATGTGGTTCCAAATTTGACCTGTTCAAAATGTGTCTCTTTAAAAATTTTTAATATTTGATTTAATTTTGTTTTGGTGGGGGAGGTAATTAGGTTTTGATTTACTTTTTATTGGAGGTACTGGAGATTGAATCCAGGACTTTGTGCATACTAAGCACGTACTCTACCACTGAGTATACCTTCCCCGCTAAAGGTATGGGTCCTGCACCCATCCACCCACTTCCCCTCTACAGAGTCAGCAATTACTAGTTTCTTGTCAAGGGATGCTGGATCTATTCTTTTCATATATGAGCAAATACTGACATATTCTTGCCCCCTTTTTCTCTCTCCACATATGGTAGTCTACTGTTCTCAGTGTTACACACCTTGCTTTTTCCCCTAATCACTAGTCTTGGAGACACTTTCATATCAATATATGAAGAGCAAATTCAGTTCTAATTTAATCAGTCTCATGTTGATGGACATTTAAGTTATTACCAGTTTTAAAAAATTACAAACAAGGCTGCAACGAATACATTTGTGCATATGTAAGAATGTATCTATTGAGGAGGTGCCAAGATGGCAGAGTAGAGAGATTTACAACTCGCCCTCTCCACAAATACACCAAGAATTACATCTACAAACCCACTAAACTGCACAGAACACCTACTGAACTCTGGAAGAATGTCTCTCATTTCAAAATACAGGAGAATTCTCACAAAATCCAATAAACACGTTCATACAGTACAACACAGGGAAATCTATTCAATATCTTGTAGTAACTTATGGTGAAAAAGAATATGAAAACGAATATATGTATGTACATGTATGACTGAAGCATTATGCTGTATGCCAGAAACTGACACATTGTAAACTGACTGTAGTTCAATAAAAAATATATATAAAAGAACATATCTATTGGATACATTTTTAGAATAAGAATTTCTGGGTTAGTGGGGTTGTGTGTTTATTATTTTGATAGATATTGCCAAACTGCTCTCCCAGCAGCAACGTGAAAGTGTCTGCTTTCTAACACCCTTACCACCATTACATTGAACACTCACTTTTAGGTTGTTTCCTTTCTGTGCTGTAACCTCCTTATTACCACACCTTCAACGAAATCTGTTTCATGCAGGAACACAGACACTGGGGGAGGAAGGAGAAGAAAGCACTGTCAGGTACACAAGGGGAAGCAGGACCAGGGGAATAGGATGTACTGGAGACAAGATGTCGAGAAGGGACCAACCATTAAGAAATTTCTTGCAAGCAGTAACCAAGAAATATGTTTTCACTGGAAATCCAGTCCATCTTGGAGTTGCCACAATTGGAGTGCAATGGATGTTAGAGTGATTAATTTTGTTATTAAAGGAAAAAGAAATCCTAGGAAGCCAGACATTTTCAGATCTATGGGTTAATATTACAAGGTTGAAAATCCCCCATCCAAGAGGGAGGTGGTGCCTGGTTGTTTCTTAGTCAGTTACTGAGGGAAGAATGACCATGCTCCCTCCCAGGCCTTCCACAGCATTGGAGCCCATCAGTAGTGAGGCCCCCGGACTCCAGTTTCCGTCTCCAGGTGGATCCGTTCCCTGGGCTGGTCATCTGAGAGGGGAGCACATCATCTTAGGGAGAGCTGAAGACCCATGACACCACAGCCAGCCTCTATATCTAGTTCTTTGTGGAAATGACATCCCAGAAAGTATCACGGAAACCTCTCCTGTCCTCTCCGTCTATGTGCCTGATTACTGGATTCTTACCCCTCACTTCTGTTTCATTCATTTCTTTTTTTTCCATTCATTTCTGTTTTCAGCTTTATGAATGCTTTCCTTCTCTTTCCATGAGGATCATTTTGTTGTTATTTTTCTAAACTCACTGTCCTTGAGCTAAACTCAACAGTAAAGAATTGGCAAATGCACAACCATAATGAACAACTTCCAAAAATGGTTTTCAGGAACTGGTAGAGCAAGCAGGACAAAGCCAACATGAGGATTTGAAAGATTTGAACATGTCAGTTAATAAGCTTTAAAATATGCCTATGAAATTGTGAACCCAACAAAGAAAATATGTATCTTCCTTCCAAACTCCTGGGGAACACTTACAAATATTAACCATTTATTAGTTCACAAAGGAAATTTCAATAAATCCCCCAAACCAAATAACACACAGGCCAACAGCAACAACAGCAAAACCTATCCAGTTGTTAATTAAAAACAAACAAAACTATAACTCTTAAATATCTCTTGGATTAAAGAAAAAAATAAAATGCATGTATAGTCCTTCAAAACCTTCAAAATAGGTAATTTTTTTTTGTTCTAACTTCTCTCCAGGGTCCAAATAAATTTTCTTAATTCATTTTCCCTTCCCCCTCAAATTTTTTTAAACTTTACATGTATAATTAATTATTTTGTATGCTTCTTTGAACGAGGAAAAATAAGCAGCAAATGATCTTTTCTCCTCTGCAGCATCTAATATAGTATTTTGACCAAAGGAACTTTCTACACGACTGAATGAAGAGATTCTTTATGATAATCAAGACATGAGGAATAGGAGGCATAAGGTATTTCTGAGAGGAAGAGGTTGCTTGTGTAACTCAGTGTTTGGTATCCTTCACGTCAGATGCATTCTTATCTGACTACAATGAGAAGGAAAATCTAAAATTGAGGTGAAGGCAAAGGTCACTCTGAAAGTGCCCAGGAATTGAAGCAATTCAAAACACGGTGTTTCACTGTATTTTGTAAGTCATTGCTTAAGAGGTTAAGGAGACAAAATGAATGACAACATTATCCTTCAGAATTTCTTTCCTAGGATACTCTTGGTAAACTGAGAGTTAGAATTTCAGTACAACAATAGCTCTCTCCAGTTAGCTAATATATAGCACTAAATATGGGCTAGTTACTATTCTTAGTTCCTCACGTATACTGACTCATTAATGTCAGCTGTGTCTCCTCTTGTCCAAATGGGTTCCAGATGAAGAAGCAAGGCAGTAGAAGTTTATACAATACACTTTATCCAAAGTATATGCCAAGTCAGGTAAGTTTTAGAATAGTTCAACTTTTTATAGCTGCAGTGTGTTTAACAAATTGGTATAATTTTTCCAATCACCATCACAATGAATTAGCTTTATTTTTGTGTCAATGCATTGGTTTATTGATTATAAACAGGTACTATACTTTTCTTTATGCTTTGACATGTTTATCATCATTTGTATTATTAATTTATGTGTATCTTAACATTAGTAAGATACTACTAATATAAAGTGGGTGTGGGATATATAGGAACTCTGTACTATTTTTGAAACTTTTTTGTAATGTAAATCCCTTCTAAAATAATTAAAAAAAAACTGAAACAAAACACAGTGTTTCAGCTCTGCCCTGTTCAAGAACCTAAACAGCACTCAGCTGTTCTTTATTTTTTGAAATTGCCTGTTGAGGGCCAACCTTTGGTCCAATGGTGGTCACTGAGCTGGTTCCATGTACTCTCTAGCTTGTGTTTGTGACACTGTCTTAAATTTGTTTATGGCAGGAGTTCTTAAACTTTTCTGGGTCATTGGTACCTTTGAGAATCTGATCAAACTAATGGCTCTCCAACCAGAGAAAGGCACATGTATACAACATTTTAAGTGTCTTGGCAGGTTCATATATTCCCTGGAGACATCCAAAGAACTTAGGCTAATAAGCATCAAGATTTGATATTTTTTCTGACATTAAGGCTTAGGCTATCAAAACTTGGAATAAGCTACTTGATATTTTATTTTATGTCTTGATTAATTAGGAAGTGATCTATCAGGAATTTTTTTCGCACATAAAATCTGTTAAATACACAAAACCGACAATAATGGCTAATGTAAGACTCCTGAGAAGGCAAGAAAGGTTAGAAGTCAAAGAACAGGAGATGTGATTAACCTGAGCTCAGAGGGAGTCATACCTCCACCTACAGGTTTGCAAAGCGTAATCCTTTATCGGCAACATCCACACTACCTGGTAACTTGACATAAACGATAAATTTGGGGCTTAACCCAGACGTACAGAATTAGAAGTTCTGTGGGTGAGTGGGGGTTGTTTTAACAAGCGCTCCAGGTGATTCTGCGGTAAAATTGAGAGCAACTGAGCTAACTCGAGCAGAAGAAAGAGGGAAGCTGGTGCTAACGCGTCTGGTGATTGAAACCAGAAGGTATGGAGCTTTGGAAGTCATAAGCAACCAACCCGAGATTAGAGAATCTGGTCTGTTTTTTCACGTACCAGAAAGAAGGTAATCCATAGTCTTTTCTCTTCTAAAGGGTGAGGAACCCGAGGAGCCATTCATTACCTAGACTACGTCGCCACGTCCACCTGAGCTCCAGAGGGCGTCAGAAAAAGGATGGAAGGAAACGTAAGAGGACAGTGAGGGCGGAAAGAAATGACGAGGGACCAGGACTCCATTGTCACCAACTACGCAACTACTGCCCAGGCAAGCAGCCTCTATCCCCGCAAACCCCTAGTCCTCACTCCCTGTGAGGTGGGACGAACGCTCCCTCACGGCCTCCCACTTCCGGGCTCCAGCCAATGGGAACCGAAACCGCTCAGCCAATCAGCGCCCTACGCTTTTTCCGGCGTTCTGCGTGCTGCTCTGGAGACGGGCAGGGACAATCCAAGCGCGGAGGGGTGCTGGACCCGCACGGCCTCACGTTGTTCCTGTGCTTCCCGCCTTGCTCCATTGCTTCGCCCCTGGCCTTTGACCAGTGGACTGGTCCTAAGAGGCGGAGGGGAGAAGACGCGCTCACTCTCTACAGTCGTCCAGAGGGCCGGCGGCTTCTCGCCACAGAGCGGGTAGGTGAGCGGCGCTGGCGGTTTTGGGGGCCAGGAGTCTGAGTTCCTGCCTTTCTCAGCGTTTGCTAGAGAGACTACAGGCCTGTAGGGAGCTGCCCACCTATCCTGCCCACCTCCTTCCTTCTGTGGTCGCTGTGACCCCCGCGCCCCCTTTCTGGGCTCGCTTGGTGCTTGCGTTAAACCCTACACAACTTTTGGTTCAGGGTACTCGGAGCTTCTCTTCTAGGACTTAGATTCGGAAGACGCGCTTTATAGAGGCCCTGTATTCGGAATTTTACCTAGTGAAACTTGGGTTTAGCTTCCCGGCTTCTAAGTCGGCCTTGCTGACTGATGTCTGTGGATGTGGGGAGGCAATAAAAGCCGCCAGTTCGCTGGCTACGAGCTACTTGGAGTGGGGAGGAGGGGGTGTTGACGTAGCGACTCGGAGCCTATACCTTGGAGGTCAGACCAGGCTCAAAGCCTGTAGTTGGTTCGGTCCGTAAAGTGCTGCGAACGGGAGCACCTGTTGAGTGCTTAGCATAGTGTTTGCCGCCTTTTGTGCCCTCGGGAAAGGTTGACTCTGCCTGAGGTTTTCAAAGGTAGCGCGCATCCCCAGGGCGAGTTAAAACACGGGATTCTGGTCCCGGTTTCCAGAGTTTGTGATTCTGTAGGTGGCGGGGGGGGGGTAAGTTGCAGTTCTATCAAGTTCCCAGGTGTTGGTGATGCTGCTCCTGTGGGAGGTGGGAAGACTAGTAAACAGACCATGGCTTTGGTTTGAGTCCTTGCCAGGATTTAAAGTCTGTCTCTTTCCTCCTGGTCTCTGCTATCTTTGCAAGGCTTGAGAGCTCCCTGCTTCTGTTTTCCCAACTCTATTTAACTGAGGTTTCTGTTTATGAACTTGTTACATTTCTCTGAAAACGTTGCTGATCAAGTTTTCTAGTTTCCGCGGCTTTTTGTCCCACAGCGTTTCTGGTTGTAGTGTTTCACACTAGAGGGAAAGTGTGCAGTTGGGAAACCTATTACTGTCACAAGTAATGAGGGGTAGGAGGGAGAACTCTCAGAGACTTCTCATATAAAATCTATGTGTTATCAAGATCATAGACATTGGAAATCATCTGAAGTCATAGGCCATCATCATAGGTTTGGAGATTGTATATGGTTAGGCCATTCAAGATGGCGGTTCTTTTGTTTTCTGTATATCCCCTGCTTGACCAACCCTGCTTCACTCACATGACTAGCCAATCCTCTAAATTAACAGGGCTTAATTAGTCCCTGGTAACTGATGAACCCAGGTGATATCAATTCCTCCGTATAAATGGTAACTAACTCCTCCTGCGATTAGGAAGACCGTGGCCATGTTCTGCCCACCGTCTGCTGCACACAGTAGGGTATTGCTCCAGGACCTGACTTCAGATGTAAGAAATTCTCTGTCTAATAAACCACTGATGTCTCTTACTCTAGGCTTTTTCTTCAGCCTTGAGGCTGGGCAACTACAAGGTTGCAGGCCCGTGGGGTGCAGTCTAACCTTGACAGACTTCCAGTAGGCCTGGTCCAGATGCCTTGGGAAAGCTATCTTATCAGATATCATTAGCTTCAATTCTGGGAAATCTTTACTTTCAGGTCACCAGAGGAGGTGCTGGCAATTAGGGTTGGGCGCTTTCTTTAGGAGTGTCTTGTGAATCCAAGAGTTGTCCTTGGAGTTTGGTGGCACAGGTGTTGGTTAGTACTACTTGATAGGGCTTTTCCAGTGAGGTGAAGAGGGTTCTTCTGGAAGTGGCTTTTCCAATAAATGAAATCTCCAGGTTGCAAGGTGTGATGCTTACGGTCTTTGTCTCCTGACGGCACACTGTGAAAAGATTGCTCTACTAATACACGGTTATTTTTAATGGAAGCAGTTAGGTCTTTCAATATTGGAGCCTCTCTCATTTTATTAGTTGTGGATTATAAGCAGGAGCCAGGTGCATTGGGTTTCTTCTGACTGTCTCAAAGGGAAAGAGCTGCTGCATTCCAAAAAGGGTGGATCTAAGGTTGAGAAGGACCAATGACAGTGCTTTTGGCCAGGGCGTTTGGAGGGCCTTTACACATGTTGCCAATTGAGCCTTAATAATGCCATTAGTGTTTGACTGAACCAGAGGATTGAGGGTGGGAAGCACAGTGTTTGGCCAAAGAGCATGTCCTTGTGGAAGCACTTAGCTGGTAAAATGGACTCCTGGATTACTGTGAAGTTTGAGAGAAGTTCCCCAGGTGAGGATGGTCTTTT